AAAAACATTTAGATCACACCTTTTAAGTGTGGCTAAAAACATTTAGATCACACCTTTTAAGTGTGGCTAAAAACATTTAGATCACACCTTTTAAGTGTGGCTAAAAACATTTAGATCACACCTTTTAAGTGTGGCTAAAAACATTTAGATCACACCTTTTAAGTGTGGCTAAAAACATTTAGATCACACCTTTTAAGTGTGGCTAAAAACATTTAGATCACACCTTTTAAGTGTGGCTAAAAACATTTAGATCACACCTTTTAAGTGTGGCTAAAAACATTTAGATCACACCTTTTAAGTGTGGCTAAAAACATTTAGATCACACCTTTTAAGTGTGGCTAAAAACATTTAGATCACACCTTTTAAGTGTGGCTAAAAACATTTAAAGGTTTCATTATCTCCACATGTCTCCAACCTGTGCCATGGAAATTCTAGTGAAAAAAGGTCACCTCAAGCTCTTGATCCCCAAACCCTTCCTAATCCACTTCCATGTAGCCATGATCCCACCAAATATTGCGCCTTTCACCAACAGCATAGTTATGACACCGATCATTGCTATCATCTTCATTATGAGATACAAGATATCATTGACAACAAAATAATAGCTCCACCTTAAAAGCCCAATGTCACCACAAACCCAATGCCACCCCATGATAGAATACCACCCCTTCCCAACTGCAACCGAATCCATGCACTGTCATTAACTTTCAACCCCAGCATATACATCAAACCTTCTGTAGACACCCCATTTTTGACCGACCTCAAGACTTGGACGTCATCGTTTGAACACTCGGTGATCATCCTTGTTCGTGTTCGTCTTGAGTTCCCGGTGGTCTCGGCTACGCGCCTTGCCTCAGGATCTCTGAACTTGACTGTTCAGTGTCTGGTTTTGCACCAAACAGTTGCATTTTGCCTTGGAGGGGCAGGGAATGCCTTATGAGGCATCCCCCCACACCACCGGCCATGGCCAGAGGCCACCGGCTGGTTTTTGCTGCCATCGGCAATGTATATTGCCGGTCGGCACTGTTTATTGTCGGGCGGCATTGTGTTTGGTTGGCCGGCCACTGTTTCTTATCAATCGGCCACTTTTCCTGGCCGAGACCTTTTCTTGAGGGAGCTTGACCCTTTTGAACCCTTTTTTAGCTGCTTGAGGAAGCTTGAACCTTTTTAGCTTCTCCAAGAAGCTTGACCCTTTTGAGCCTTTTTTAGCTTCTTGAGGAAGCTTGAACCTTTTTAGCTTCTCCAAGAAGCTTGACCATTTTGAACCTCTTTTTGGCTTCTTGAGGAAGCTTGAACCTTTTTAGCTTCTCCAAGAAGCTTGACCCTTTTTTTAGCTTCTCCAAGAAGCATGAACCCTTCTAAGCTTCCAAGAGAAGCTTGCACCTCTTGACCCCTTGTCTAGCTTTTCCAAGAAGCTTGACCCATTTGCCTAGCTTCTCCAAGAAGCTTGGCCCTTTTGTCTAGCTTCTCCAAGAAGCTTGGCCTTCTTGGCCCTTTTGCTCCAAGCTTCTAAGAGAAGCTTGGCCTTTTTGGTCAAAGCTTCTAAGAGAAGTTTTTCCCCATTGGTTTCTCTATATAAGGAGAGCCTCTCCTTCCATTTTAGAGGTTAGAAAATCTGATATATAAGATATATATATCACTCCCTCTCTCTCTACATTTGTGTTGGTTAGAGGGTTCAAAAGGGTCTAGTTCTTGTACATTTGAACTACAACTCTTGGCCTATCACCTCCATCATCAACCTAAGGAGCTTGGAGGCCATTTTCAGAGGTTGAGGGTTGCATTTTTGGGTCTAGAGGCTGCTGTCCCCTTTTGGTTACACAGGTAACCCATTTTCCCTCTTTATTCCCCGTTTTTGCACACCATTTTAGCCTGTCTTGATTTCGGATTTGGGCTTTGTGTATAACATAAAAAAGTTCTGTTTTTTTGAGTTTAAGATACTTTATTAAGACCACTTTTGTGTTTGGGGTGGTTTACCCCCTCTTAGGCCTTGTTTGGCCCCATTTTGTGCTATTTTTGGTGAGTTTCGGGACCACCTCGTTTGGGCCTCCTCATCACTGAAATCTTGAGGGATTTCAGTGGTGAGGATGGTGGTTTAAGGTCCTAAGAAGGAGAGGGCCATCCCCTTTCCTTGTTGTCTTGTTTGATGCCCTTTTTGGCCTTACAAAGGGGCCTGTATTTGCACAGTTCTTGAGCTCGGTTCAGGCATTTTTCAGTGGGTTTTAGACCCCCATAAGCCATTTCCAGAGTTGTTTTGGTCATATTGAATGTCTATCTTGCATGTGCTTAATAACTCCTTGCATGGCCCTCTAAAGTAACTCATCATTTTTGCATGCCATGGTTGTGTATCAGTGGTTATTTGGGCCTATTTTCACATGTTTTATTCACTATTTTTTGATGGTTTGGTGAGATCCCATGTGCATCATACACTTGCTTTGTATTCCTCTATTTTGCCTAGAAATGCATCTTGCCTTTGGACCACCATGCTTGCATATTTTGGCTTAGCTTTGTGAAGTTTTTGGTCATGTTTTAACATGCTTAAGGTCTGTCTTGGGTCTTTAGATTCACATTTTCCATGTTTAGTATAGCCCCTTTGTTTTTTGGCTTGTTGGCCTTAAGTGTGTGAGTATGTAGCATGCTTTATTTACTTTGTTTTATTGGTTTGGCACCATTTGTAGCATCATTTCAGTCCCTTTGACATGCTTGTATGCTTGCTTTGGACACCTCTTTAATGCTATGAAAGTTTGTGTAGCATGCTCCATGTTTTGGCATTTGTGCATGCTTTTAAATTTAGGTCATTTGGATGCCATCTAAGTGATCTTTAGGCCTTGTTTTAATATGCTAAAATTCTGTTTTTAGTCATTTAATTCATGCCATGTGTGGTTGCACTAAGTGTAGTTCAATACTTCTTTGGTGGGCCTTAGGAATTGGACCATATTTGCATGCATGTTTGCATGTCATTTAGCCCTTATTTCATAGCACTATGGCCACTGTTTTGGGCCCAATTAGAGCTGCCCAAATCATGTTTAAGTCCATCTCTTTGTTTGTTGCATGCTCTCCTTGTATATTGTAGCATATTGGTGAGTTGTTGCATATTTGAACTTGCATGATTGAATGAAGTCACATGTTTGTTTACATGTTTCAACACCCACATTGTGCCTTGCATACTTGTTGGTTGCACTATCTCATGCCTTGCATGCTTGTTTGCTTGTTTGCATAGTTTGTGTACCTAGTGTACATCACTTGCTTGTATGCTCATGTTGCATGCTAGCTCACATAAAAACCGCCAGAAGTATATGAATAAATTTACTAATTAATTTATAAACTTACATTTAGATCACACCAAAAATAATGTAATTTATCCAGTTGTTAAACTGCCCCTAATCCTTTCCCCACAGCCACCAAAAATGACATAATTATTTTGATTCTCCACATAAATATCAGTAAAACAGCACCACAAAAGAAGACAATATGCAACAATGCAGAAAGGATCACATAAATGATAAAATGGAGTATTATATGGACAATCAAATCATATGATATCAACATATAACTCACTAAAAACTATAAAACAAATAAGGATCAATAAAGCTTATTGGTCTTAAAAGCAGAAACCAAATAGCCTAAATAATTACAAATTGGTATGGGAGCAATCCAAGTAGAGGAAATAATAAGAGCCCAGCACACTAAATTAAAAAGAAACAACTTGCATACAACCCCCTTATCTAAATCTTCAGCTCCCTAATTTAATAACTTGAGATGAAGCACATCTTTATAAGAATAGGATCAGCCACAGATAGATACTTTAAAGATTGTAACTGTCAAAAATACGAGAATTATATGATTTTCAACCATGACAAAATACTCTATTGAAATAGCAAATTCTCCACAATTAAAGTCTGTCCATGTAAGTAACAAACAATAGCAGGTCCTCACTATCCAGCACTTCTCTCTGTGCATGTCAATGAAATCCATCACATACAACATATAAAAGCAATTCGCAAAAATTGAAGTAGGAGACTTGTAATTATCAATTCATTCAATTAGTATATCTTAACTCTTATATGAACCCAATTTTCTGTTGGACCATAACATTATTTGCTGAAATCATATTTTTTTAGGTAGAAAAAGTAGCTCATACGGATCTCATCAACGATATCATATCTTAGATTCTGCACCATGCACCTCAAATACAACTTAGGCCCATTTGTGAAACCAACTTTGGAAGTATACCAATGTCAAGAATTAACAATTATCTTGCTATGTTTTAATAGTCTTAGACCATGCAACCTTGCCCTTCAGTGGGGGCAGGATGGTTAAAATAGTATCCAAATTCACATGTTTTGAGCTCCTATGTTGCCTTGACAAATTCACACTGCAGCTATGATGTGGTCAAATAGCTATACCTCTGGATGATTTGTTATGACATCAATTGGTCCAACAGTTTAAAGTATAGAAATACTGAAGCTCAAATTCCAGCAAAATTATAGTTTGCTTTTGAATTTGAGCCCTATCAAATTCTCGTCAGATCAATACAGCCAGTGCCTAGCCTTAACATTGAACAGATTTTAGGTAGGCATGCCAAACCAGCCATTTAAATAACTTATCTCAAAAGAAGAAAAATAGACATTTAAAGACTTTAATATATATATATATATATATATCTAGAACTTATTATTTGAGTTAATTTTCAGTTCAATGAGTTAAGGAGGCAACCTGAATCAAAACCTATTATGTTCAAAAGTGAGTAGAAGATTACTTGAATGCAGCCCACCCAAAAAAAAAGGTCAAACTACATGCTTACTTCAGGCAGTTCTGCATGTATAAAATAGTATTGCCAGCTAAACATAAATTCAATCCCACAATAGACACTGCTACTGCCATTTACATAAATCTAGTACATCACAAAAGTGACCAAAATGGCAATTGGGCTTCAGTGTTCAAGGCCTACACAAAATGCATTTACACCCAAAAGGTTGAATTAATGAACTAGCATAAATGACCTTACCTTTTCGTCAGCAGAGTACTTAGTGCATTTGAAATAAAACCTGAATATTTGGATCCCCAAGTATGTCTGCAAATAGTTTTAACATTTCAGTCAGTTCACTGAACAATAGTAATACATATATCATAATCAAAGTCTGAAAAGAATGTATTTTACCGATCATAGAAACAAGGATAAATAGAGTGAAGATAACAATATTATAACCATAACAAGGGTATCCATCTTTCAAACAGCATAATGTTGAAATTTCATCCAATGTCACCTCATGCTGTTACATAGAATATGTTCGGTCAGGACATCATTTCATCAGGTCAATCCCTATGTGAAAGTAGAAAAGATAAGGTAGATGGTAAAAATCTGGCATCTAGAACAGTAGTAGATTTGTAGTAACAGTACTGGGGGTACATTGAATCCACATAAAAATATGGTTGCCCTACTTAGAAAGTGTCTCTAGATTTATGATCAATAGTTGCCTTCTTACACAACTTGTGTTAATCCTCTAACCTCAATTGGAGACATCTACCATTTGTCACTAGTTAGGAAATAATAGGAGACCCACAGAAACAGGGGCAGAACAATAACTTCTAATAAAGACAAAACAGAGGGAGATCCTGAATTTTTGTGCAAAAAAACTTATAAGGGATGAACTATGACAATGTTTAACTCAAGGAAATTGAAAAGGAAAAAAACACTAGATTATTGATTTCATTAGCAAAAGAGAGGCTTGAGTAATTGAGCGAGTCATCACTACACATGTCCCAAACTTACTATAAATGTATGTTGTTGTTTGGCAGCACCATAGCTTTCCTTAACAACTCTCCCAGCAATAGTTCTCTTTCCAAACCTGTTTGGATATAAACCTGTTTGGATATTATATTTTGTACAATATTTACATAAACTTAACCTTTATTTAAAACTTTTTATTCACATTTTTTTGACAAAAATTATAATCCAACAATAGATGGGGCCAAAAGAAATGCCTCAAATGTACCACTCATATCATATTTGCCCGCCAAAAAGTATCACAAGAAAAGACATTCCCAACAAGTCCATTATTAATTTTTCACTTACTCGTCACAAGGGACAAAATGGGGTTGACCCTCCAATAATGTAAAAGTGCTTTTGAACCCGCACAAAAACAACTACAGTGACAGAATATATATATACCTAGGGATGATATTTTATCAATGTATATGTGGGTGTGCTTTTTTTCCCTCTTTGTTTCCAGATAAGATAAAACCGAAGCAAAAATATAGGTCTATTGTCACTCAACCCTCAACAAAAACCAAAGCAATAAATAAGGAAAAACCCATCAACCCACAAGAAGATAAAAGGAAAACACTCTAGAGAATTTAGAGCTAAGTTCACTCAATCCTCAACAAAAAGCTCATTAATATAAATAACTTTAATGTCTTACCGACACTAGAATGGGAGGCTGCCTCCTTCTGTGCCTCTACATTGACATCAAGAGGCTGTGAGTGTTGGGCCATTATGGCAACTAAACAGCATAAATTGATATATAAGACATAAAATATAACGCATAATATTTACTTGAAAAGACAATGCAAAATATAACATAAGAAGGTAATGCATAAAAAACATATGTCCATATGGAAAACACAAAACAAAAACTACATATCATAAAACAAAACAAAAGGTATCCATGTCAGCCCCAGGCTCATATACCTGTCAACATAAAAATTTGTTGCTGAATCCCCACATGATCTGAATTCACTCACTAAGCATAAAGGGCATTTTAAAACAAATAAATAAAAGTGAAAATTGCCATAGTTCTTAAGTTCTGATAAACAACAGAAGTCAATAAATTCTAGTATTGTTTTTTAGTATAGACTTGCTGCAGACTAGCCTGTGAAGCCAAATCAAACACATCGTAAATAATATGACTTATTGTTCTATAAAGCATCCTGGAATTCCAAAGGTGTTTCCAGTGCACAAAATTTGAGTTCCTATTCAACATATCATTTAGCCCTTTGACAAGTCTAGCCTAGTAATAACTCTTCTCAACCACTAAAAGCCAGAATCATCCCCTTCATTCAGTTTTCATCCTGGGCTACTAACTCGTGACTAAAAACTATTTTTTTAATTTTTTATAAGTTAAAAGGTACATTATCAAAAACTCCTTGAAGGGGGCAAATCTTATACACTCAAAAGGCCAAAGCTTGGAAGCTATACATGCATGTACAAACCTCTTAAAAACCACACAAAAGACAACATAGAGGAGGAATCCTCTCTCAACCAAAATATGGAAGTTGAACATATGATATTTTGCTCTCTATAGCATCTTGAAAATCCAAATATCAAAGCTAAATTCCTCATATATAATTTCAAATCTTCCTATAAGGCGGAATGATAGATGTAAGATTCACATTAACACATTGTAATTCTATTATGAGTTTTTCCTCTAATTATGTTACCACGTTTTAATTATAACTGTTTTTATGATTCAAGAGCTGTTGCTATTGAGAAGGTTGTTTTATATGACAATTATTTATTATAGGGTTTCATAAGGCCTATAACATGACCTCTTAAGAAAAAATGAGAATAGGCCTTGGAGAATGACTAGAAGTTGAACATGGAAGAACTTATCTTCTTCTTCTTCACTCATCATCTCTTTCTCTTCCCTGATATATGTCCATTCGCTCTTTCATCTCTTATCTACCTCAGTACTCCATATATTTCTCCTCACTCTATTTCTTTCTCCTCCATTTCTTCATCTCTTATTGATATATCTATCTCCATGTTGTCCCTCATCTCTTATTCCTATATTGTATTATTGTATCTGTCTATTTTTATCCTTCAACTCTTCTCTCCATACATTTAAAAGAAAAAAAAGAAAAAAACAAATTGACAAGCTTTGTTCACTAACCAAGTGTTCAATAATAGTCTCATGTGATCCTGGTTACATAAATTAAAAGTGATGCAATCCATAAGAAGCAAGAAAAGGTAAATTTACGGAAGCAGAAAACCAAAAAAATGTATGGCAAGCCTGTACTTACCCCCAAGCGATATGACCCAAAAGTAAATATGACAGCATTTGCATCTTCTATTTGATCTGTGTAACCTCTCTGATGGGTTAATTGCTTCATTCTAGAACTAACAGTTTATTATATTGTAGTTCTCTTTGACTCGTCCATCTAAACAAATATGCCATAAATGTAATGGTTATTATCTTACATTTAAACAAATAAAATGATAAATAAAATGAATAGAGCTATTGGAGAGCAGTTCTAACTTATGGCTATGCCAGAGCAATATCTAATAGTTTAATGCTCTCAATGTTCAAATTTCATTAATAAATGCAAAAAAGAACAAAGCAAATAGCTACACAATAATAAGATAATTCCCTTTCTTTTGAACCACAAAAAACAGAGCATTCCCAACCCTTTATATATTTGTTTTTTTATATGGTACATGATATGATATTATATCATATGATGATTCATATAAATAGTAAAATTAATAACATATAACATTGCTAGCATAGTTCAATGACAAAAAAACAAAAAAACAAAAAAAAAAACAAAAACAAAAACAAAAAAAAACAAAACCATCATCAATAGTTCAATGAAAAAAAAAAAAAAAAAAAAAACAAAAAAACAAAACAAAACAAAACAAAAACAAAAAAAAAAAAACAAAACCATCATCACCGTGTCTAGTTTTTTGCCATACATTGTACATAGTATACATGGCCATTCTCTTGATGTTAAACACTGAATCTCTGCTGATCAACTAATACAGAGGAAAACTAAAATTACCCAATCTCATAAACTACCTAAATTCTTACATAGCTATAAACTGGAAAAATTGAAAGGGGTACAAAATAGATGTTTGAATTGTGCCTTTGTTTTCATTCTTGTAATATGGAATCGTGTTTGGACTTTTCACGGTTTTAAATAAAAAGCCAAATCTCTGTTCGATCTGAGGAAACAATGCACAAATCACCCGAATCGAAACCTTAGTTTATAAATCTCATGGCTAACTACATACATTAACTATAGGGGAAAAAAAAAAAAACCCAAAAAATACGTAAAACTTGAAAATTCAGATGATAAATCAAAGATTTTAAATCGCTCAATAAAGAAGACAATCAAAATTTATTTACCATATCAACAATAAAGCCAGATTAGAAGCTAAAAAAATTGTGAAGATTAAAATCCATAAAAATTCTAAAACAACTCAACGAAATTGAAGCAATATAAGCTTAAATTAAAGAAACAAGAACCTACCCACCCCACGCCCACACCAAACCATCAATTATAACATGACTGAAATATTTTATTTAATAAACCATGATTAAAAATAAGATTACATCTTCAAATCTTGATTTCATACCAATCAACAAAAGTTCACCTTCTAAACTAATCACATCCAAACTACACCAAAAAAATTAGCATAGTAAACAATGAAATTCAAGTAGAAATATCATCAATCAATTTGACTTTCACAACTTTCAATAATTAAAACCCAAAATAAATAAATAAATAAATAAAAACGAACTCAGCTCAATGATGCATATTTTGAACTCACGGCGGTTTTGACGAGTTCGTCGAAGTACGATTTGGCATGGACGACAGAGACACGAGGAGAGACGAATCGACAGGAAGATCCAGGCCCTTGATTGAAGGATTGCTAACCGATCCACTGATTCACCAAGCTCGTACACGCCATGGCTAATTCAAAAACTACGGATCGATCGAGCTCTCTC